TAGTCTTATTAATTTTTTTGTCCAATATAGTTGTTCCTTGAGTATCTTAAGCTCAACAGGAGCCTTTATAAGGGGCTTTGTTGATCGGTTAAGTTCCAAGTCCTAACTCGATCCCAAAGTCTATTTCTCTAATTGAGGGTAGAATTGACAGTTCTTCCGCAAAAATATGATGAAAGTCTCTTATTACTTGTACAACCGTTATGCCAATATCTGCTTTATTGGTTTTGGTGATGCTGGCTAGGAACACCCATGCTCCGTGTTTGACAACATTTTAGCTTTCATGGCTGAAATTACCTTTGGAATGTCTCTTGAGTATTCCCCCTTGTATTTGAGGCTTTCTTTAGAAGGGGCTCTAAATGTTACCTTCCTAGCCCGACCGTCTATATAGGCATGGTTGTCAGCTAACAAGTTCAATCCTAAGGCAACATCGTAGTCATTCATGTCTAAGATTACCAACGTCAGTTCCAGGAGCCTCCCTAATATCACAATCTTGTGGTCCTTTATTTTATGAGTTGCTTAGAGGTCTATTCTGGGAGGTGTGGAATCAGTGAATGGGTATTTCTAAAGGTCTAATCCTAACTTAATCCATCTAGTGAATTCTTCTGATATAGGAAAGAGCCTGAGTCAAACAAGACATAACTAAAGTAGCAAAGGACAGGAAGGGTACCTGTGACTACTATATCGATGTCATCTACCCTCCTAGCTATTGTGGCGTGTGCAACAATGTAACGACCGATCTTCGGAAAATACCGAATCACGGGTCGCCACGTGGACTTAGGAGTAAAAAAAAAAACTTTTCAACACTTCATGTAGTTTGAACAGGTGACGGTAAGTTAAAAGTTGCCTGATATACATTTCAAAAAAAAATATAAAACACATAACGAAGATCTGCGGGGTCACATTAAAAAAACACGGTTACAAAATATAGCAGGTTTTTCAAAAAACGTCAAAAATCATAACCAAAACGACATGAGAGAAGAAGACTCAATCTAAGGGCCCCCTTCTGCAGCTGCACGACTCCACACATCCCCGCCACCGACTCAGATCTACTTTTCTCCTGAAAAATAGCAACAACACAGAGTGAGTATACAAACAATACCCTGTAAGCAACTTGCTCGTAAGCTCTTGTCGAACTTAGCCCTATTCACGGGATTCTAAGTCCTAAGCTCGAATAGTCACTAGTTAGAGACCTAGGGGTGCCTGGCAACCTCCAACTATTCCTAAGATCAGTAACTACCTGCCACAGTGCCTCGCAAGGCCGAGTCAGTCACTACCTGTCTTACGCCCTTGTCGACTCAGATCAGTAAAACTACCTGTCTTAGGAACAGTAACTACCTGTCTTATGCCGCTCGGCTGGATCAGTAAAAGGCCATGGCTCGTCCCACTAAGCACCTTTTATCACAGTAATATATTATGATTACCCTCAACCCCTTGGGGGTGACTACGAAAACGGTACACTGTCATTATGTGCTTCCTAACTTATAATTACTAGCACCTAATAATTCATTCAACACTCAAAGAGTGGTAATGGGCTACCCAAGCCCCTCGCCCAATGCCTAACAAAGAACCACGGCGACAATACGTCGCCATGCTAAGTCACATAATAATCATAATAACCATCTAGCTCAACATAAAAACATACCATTTCATAGAGTTGAAACGTCGTAGAAAAGACTGTTCAAGAGAACGAAAATCCAGTGTTTCGGGTAACTTGCATACCGAGAACAATTTCTCTAAATTAAGGTCCCACACTTAAAGTCATTCCTCCAAACCAATTGTTTTACCTTGAGGTAAATATAAGGAAAGGTTTCCTGAAGAAATTGGACCTTGAAAACCCCTAGAATCGGCTGCCCAATAAAGAATCTATTATTTTAGCTCAGGCGAGAATACCGATTTTGGATGAAATTTGGAGGCGAATATTTTACGCTACAATCCACGAGAAGGTATGAAATTAATTTATAGGTTTTAGATCTTGTAGACCAGCCTACGATGTAGACCTAGCATACTTCCATAGTCCTCTAGCAGATGTACCGTCGCCGTCAGGTATGCTTTTTAAAGATAATAACAGGTTTAATTAAATGATGCATGTAGTAGGTTAGTTTTAATAAAGTAAGGTATGATAAATATGTTTATTATGTTAGCATAATTATGATTATGTAAGGTTAAATAAGTTATGTCGAGTATATTAATGTGGTTACGTTACTCCAAAAATAGGTATGTGATTGATTAGAGAAGCTTTTAAGTTAGATATGTGACTTAGTAGTTACATGTTGTGTATAAATTATGTTACCTAGAGGACGAATAAGAGGATGTAGAGAACGACCCCCTCTTAGGGTTGAAGAAGGGGTATAAGAGGTTGAGGTCCGGTACGCAAAGAATCAGTGGATCGACCTAACAAACGGTGACACTTCCACTTCCAATAGTGCCTCAAGCCGCACCATACCTTACAGCTGCCCTAATGGAATCCTTACAGGTCGTCCTGCAAGTGATGTCAACAACACAACAAACAAAGCTTCATTGTCAACCAGAGAAGCAATATGCTTGCAAGACTTTAGGAGGGGTGACCCTCAGAACTTTAGCGAGTCTTCATATGATTCGACAGTGGCAGAACTATGGTTAAATTTTATAGAGACAGTGTTTGGACTGACCAACTGCCCAAATGATCAGAAGGTACTATGTGCATTGTTCATGTTATGAGATGTTGCAGAACTTTGGTGACAGTCCACTAGTGAGATGATTAGTCTTGAGGGAGGCATAATCTCGTGGGTAGACTTCAAAAATTTCCTTATGAAAGAATACTACATGGAAGATACTCAACTTCGTAAGTAACAAGAGTTCACACAACTAAATCAAAGGGGCATTTAGTCACCGCCTATGCTAGAGACTTTATGAGAATGAAACGATACTCCCCAGAATTGGTTAGCACTGAATATAGGATGATAAAGAGGTTCATATTGGGATTGGACAAGAAAGTTTGTAGTATAGTTAAGGCAATAGCGCCTACTATGCATGCTATCACCGTAAGAGTAGCTAATGCCATGGAGGGAATTGATGAATCTTGAGAACCCCTTCAACCGAATGTAAGACAGAAGCGACGTAATGACCAAATTGATCATCATAATCCACCTCTAACACAGCCACAACGGCAACTTGACAGACATCACTAAGATCCTAGGCGTGGTCAACAAATAGTCTGGTATGAAAATAGACCAAATAACAGACCTAAATGTAACGAATGTGGGAAGAATATCTAGGGACAATGTTTGGCCCACACTCGAGCCTGTTTTTGGTATGGAAAGGAAGGTCACATGGCCAATGACTGCTCTGGAGGTGATGCGAATAATCTTGGAAATCAGCATAGAGGTTTGAATAGAGCGGATCATCCTACTCAAAACCATCCTCCAGCGAGAGCTTATGCCTCTACTAGTAAGGACACTCGGAATCCCGACGCAATGGTGAAAGGTACATTATCTGTTCTTGGTCACCTTGCTTTAACACGGTTTGATTCGAGATCTACGCACTTATTTATATCTGTTTTCGTCCGTCAAGCAAACTTTGTATTAGAACCTCTATTAGCACCTCGGCAAGGGTGGATTTGATTGTTGCTTATAGGGTAAAAGATGGTAAGTGATAGTATCAAGAATTAGCATAGTGGTAGACCTAACGGTAGTTGACATAACTGAGTATGGTATGATATTGAGAATGGATTGGTTAACGAAAAATCATGCTAGTAGAGACTGTTACAAGAAAGAAGTGGTGTTTACGCCACCGTCCAACAGTAGATTCAAGTTCAAGGGTAAGAGTCTGAAAATTAAGCCTAAATTGATATCAATTATGAAAGTGAAAAAGTTGATTCAGCATGAAGCGTGGATATACTAGTCCATGTCGTGAATACCAAAAAAAAAAACTTTCCTAGCCGTAGTGCCGATTGCAAATGAATTCCCAAATGTATTCCCAGAGGATTCATTAAGAATTCTATCGTTTCCAAATGTGGATTTTGAAAGAGTTGGAACCAGGTACCGGTCTTATCTCTAAAGTCCCATATCATATGGCGCCAACTGAACTAAAAGAACTCAAGACACAACTACAAGAGCTACTGGATAAAGGATTTATCAAGCCTAATGTATCTCCTTGGGTTTGATGGTGTTATTGTTAAGAAAAAGGATGGTCTGATGCACTTATGCATGGATTATAGGGATCTGAATAAGAGAATGGTGGAGAACAAGTATCCCCCTTCAACGCATTGAGGACTTATTTGATTTGGTGAAGAAAGCAATGATGTTCTCAAAAATTGACCTTAAGTTAGGTTACCACCCGGTAAAGATAAAAAAGGAAGATGTGTCCAAGACAGCATTCAGAACAAGGTATGTTCATTATGAGTTTGTAGTTATGTCTTCTGGACTCACTAATGCCTATACAGTGTTAATGGACCTGATGAATTGAGTGTTCAAGGAATGTTGTGATACTTTTGTCATAATGTTCATAGAAGATATCCTAGGATCCTCAAACATATCAAGAACACAAGTTACACTTTAGAAAGGTCCTAACAATTTTGAGGGAGAATAAGTTGTACGTAAAATTCATCAAATATAAATTTTGGTTACGTGAGGTCTCGTTCATGGGGCATGTTGTATCTGAGAATGGTGTGTCAGTAGATCCTGCCAAGGTGGAAGCAGCCATTAAATGGGCTCGCCCAACCATTGTCATTGAGGTACGTAGTTTTTCTTAGGTCTAGCATGTTACTACCGACGCTCTATACAAAATTTTACCAAAATAGTCTCACCGCCTATGAAACTGACTGAGAAGGGTATGTCATTCATTTGTATGGACTGAAGATTACGAGGCAAGTTTTCAGGATCTGAAGGTTAAGCTAGTGATGCACCAGTACTCACGATGCCCAACGACACAGGAAACTACGTGATTTACAGTGATGCTTCCAAGAAGGCCAAGGATGTGTGTTAAGACAGCGCAGGAAGGTTATTGCATATGCATCCGACAACTGTAGGACCATGAAAAGAACTACCCCACGCATGAATTGGAGCTAGCGGTGGTAGTTTTGCGTTAAAGATATGGTGACACTATCTATATGGAGAGAAAACTCAAATCTACACTAACCAGAAAATCCTAAAGTATTTCTTCACTCACGAGCTAAATATGAGACAACAGAGGTGGTTGAAACTAGTCAAAGATTATGACATCGACATCCAGTACCACTGTTGAAGATGTCCTGAATTGAAAGACGACTCATTCATGGACGTTAATCACAAGAGAGCCTCGAGTATAGACAAATTTTGAGTAAATTTATATCTAAATGCTTGGTATGCCATGCAAAACAAGGCACTTAAACAGAGATCGACAGAATTATTGTAGCCTTTCAGTGTGCCATAATGGAAATGGGAGAATATAGTCATGAAATTTATAGTAGGGCTACCAAGAAGGTTGAAGGGTTACACGATCACATGGGTGATTGTGGACAGATTGACAAAGTCAGCGCATTTCCTTGATGGTAAAGCCACCTACACAATTGGGCACAACTGTATATGAAGGAAACTGTTAAACTTCATGGAGTTCCTATGTCAATTGTATCAAACTGAGACCCACATTTTACGTTGGCATTTTGGCCCGGACTCCAGAAAGCGTTAGGTATTCGCCTAGATTTTAGTACAACATTCCACCCACAGACAGATGGTCAGACGGAACATTTGAACAAAATTATAAAGGATATGTTACGTGCCTGTGTGTTAGACTTTGTAGGTAGTTGCAATTTGAAATTGCACCTCATATAATTTGCCTATAATAACAACTTCTAGGCAACGATTGATGTGGTACCGTATGAGACGTTGTATGGAAAACGATGCAGGACTCCACTGTGCTAGGATGAGATAGGGGAACGTGAATTGGGCGTGGAGTGTGCAGGGTATAATCTTGAATGATCCTAGTGTATACTATTGGTGCATTGTTCATGTCATACTCTATGTAGGATACACGTATAGCCTAAGGGAACGTGAATTAACCTTAGGTTTACTTGAAACTCATGTCATACTCTATGTAGGATACATGTATAGCCTAAGGTAACCTTAAGCATTCCTAAATCCATGTCAGGTCGTGATTATTTTGTAAGAAGGTCTTAACGGTGGTATTCATATTCTTAAAATTCTCAGTACCGGTCATAGGGCAATATAGTAATTTTTCTACTTAAACCATGGCTTAAGCCCTTAATGTGTTCCAATGTCATGAAAGTTTCAAATCATTTAGAGGTCATTAAAATCGTGAACCGTAGGTGCCATAGTGTAGGGAGATTATGGTCATTTCACACAACTTTTTTGGTTTTGCTACTTAGTCATATTCAATTACCATCCAATTTCATATATAACTTTAACATATCACATTATGCTCGGCTTTAAAATTTCATAGACAGCAACAGAGTTCATTTAGTGAGTTATTTTAACGTTACTTGACTCTAGAGAAAAAATGGAGTGTTTTACTTCCACATATAGACTCACCCACACTTTCCAATTCTTTGGACAACAAAATCATTAAAACTTGTTAGTCAGCTTCAAAACTCATCCAAAACCAAATGGCTTAAAATCTTCCTAGTTTTGACCTCAAATTAGTTAATTTCACATACAAAGCTTCAAATTGGCTATTATTGGTTGGCAGCGCATCTGCTACAACAAATGAGTTTGATGGAGTGCTTTGATGGAGTGCTTTGATGGAGTGCTAGAGAGTGTTGTTTCCTGGAGGAATAATTTTATACCTATCAAACCAGACTTATCTTTTTTGAGTAATTTTTTCCCTATTTTCTCATATCATACCTTAACTACACTCTAATATTGTTGTAAAAAAGTCTTCAAAAGAGTAGACGGTATCAAATGGCAATATTTGGGAATAGCCCAAATAATATAATAAATAAATAAATAAACAAATCAAAAAAAATAAAAAAAAATTATATAACCCCTTCTTTCTTCAAACCAACCACATAATATCACCATTATTGCAAAAAAAATGTCTTATTTGAGAATAAAAGGAAATAGCGTTGATCGATAGGTAGACGCAGATTTATGTGAAGAAATTTCATGAGTTATTAAATCTTCCTTTTCAGCCAATTATATTGTGACCAATCAAGAAAAAAAGAAAGGTAGTTTTCTGTGGTCTCCTACGAGACCAGAAAACTCTAGAGAACGTCAGAGTTGTCGTTCCCGACGACCCACGACCAGAGCGCCCCCTCGGATCACCATAGCACGCCCAAATCGTCTACCACCTCGAACACACACCAACTACCTGCAAAAGAGAGAAAAAACGGAGAGGGAGGTGAGAGAGAGAAGAGAAAAGACCAACGAAACTCCATCGAAGAGAAACCCAACAAAAACCAACGTCGAATTCGTCGTTTCTTACCATGAAAGGAACCACAGAGGATTGTACACACATCGGGAACGAATTCCGACGATCCATACTCGACCTACACCCTCGGAAAAGAAGAACCAAACCAACGCCATAAAGGGGAAGAAAGAGAAGAGGAGACACGAAACCAAAAGGAAAAGGAAGGAAATGGACGTCGAAAATGGCGTTACCGAAGGGAGACGGAAATGCCAGCGAAAAACACAGAAAACCGGGTAGGGAAGATGAAACCCGACCCGTGACCCGGACCCGCTCCTCCAACCCGTCTACAGCAACCATCGCCTATGTGCCTTGATCCAACCCAATCCACGCCTCGGCCTAACCCAATCAACAGCGACCCAAAACCGCAAACCAAAAACCAACTCGTGACCCAGTCCGATTTCTGCAGCCCAATACCCTTGGCCCACATGTCAGTCCAGCCCACCTACAATCAGAATCCCTACAGCCCAACGTCAGGCTCCATCCAAGAACCCGTGATTGAACCCCAACCCGCCTGACGACCCGTGCCTCGACCCGTCTTCAAACTGCACATGTGGCCTCTACTGGTGGCACCACATGTCAACGTCTGACGCAAAATATCCCCGACTCCAATGGCTTAAATGGCTTTAGCGGTGGCTCAACGGCGACTTCTCGGCTCGATAACCAAATTTTGACCTATTTGGCACCATTTCGACCCTCTCCGACCTGATTTCAACCTCGTTTAAGGTAAATTAGGTCATTTTAAGGCCGTATTTCACAATTCCAAGTTGAATTATGGTTATATTTGTGAAATACTAACAAAAGATGTTGAACGATCCAATAGATACCAATCACCGACAATAGCATAGGATGATACGAGGAGATAGGAGCTTATGTTATAAATTATTTGGGAGTATGTCGGCTACGGCCTACCAAGTAAGTGGCCCTACCTTCGTAGGTTATAGCAATTGAATGTTATATGCTAGCATGTGTCATAAATTGTATGTTTAAACCATTAATATTTAATATTATGTTTATATTGTTTTATGTGACCGTTGGGGTGATTACTGTATGAATTCAATGTTATAAATGTTATGTTAAAAGCTTGAAGCATTATGTTATGTCTCCTAAATTATATTTATACAACATGATATGAATGACATGAAATCACAACAAATGGCATGAAATATTACCCGTTAGAATTATGCATGATATGAGAAAAATGAGAAATGATATAATATGAATGAAAAATGATAGCGGGGTTATATTTAATAATGTTGAAAATAGAAAAATATTGGGACCTTATGCATTATGTGTGCTCTGGGGGATACCTCTATTCCATCACGAGGGTATGGACGTGTACATCATTAGGCAGAAGAACTATCATTATGTTTTACATAATGATGTCATGACGGTTACTAATTCTAACGGGTGTCCGGCATAAAGATTTACTAGAGCATGCTCGCCCGACAAGGAAAGGGGCCCAGCGGTGTGTGGACTTACTAGAGAGTCCATACTGACACGTATGGGTTGTGTGTAGGGTATATGGTACACATCTAAGCTGCCAGTTAGGATAGTGTCGTAGGAAAATAGACTGATGTAATATGTCCCATCATTGCATTTGCATGTTCTTGTTGCATAACCCCGATAGGGGATCGTTTACCGAGTATTCTTAAAATACTCAAGCCTCGTGCTACTACATTTTCAAATCAATGCAAGGCGTCCCTGTGAAGCCGACGAAAGCATCACAAATCCCGTGACCTTGGCACATGCATAGGATAGATTTGCATTTCAATTTACTAGTATAGGTTAGTATTGATTGAATTATATTTGCATTAATAGTATAGGTTAGTATAGGTTGAATTGCATTTGCATTAATAGTATAGGTTAATATAGGTTGAATTGTATTTTCATTGAATAGTATAGGTGGGTTGTAATTGCATTTAATAAAATATAGGTTAGTATAAGACATTTAATTCAGCATTGTTTTTACTTCTTTCTTTGTAATTGTTATTCCAAAGGTAATAAATGAGGCGCCCCAGAGACCTCGATATCATGACAGGCGACTTGCCCCGCGTCCAGTAGATTGAACCCCAGGATCGGAATGCAAATGTGGGAAACAACACTGGGACAAATGCTTGGCAGGCTCTAAGGTACGTTACAGGTGCGGTCATGCAGGTCAACAACTCAATTTTGCACTGGAAGGGACACAAGGAACCCAAGGGAACCCCTTAGAGGCCCGATTATTTGAGAACACGTCATGCTTTCTATACTAGGACACTTTGCATTAATATTGTCTGATTCGGGCTCTACCCATTCATTTGTTTCTATGTCATTTGTTAGTCAAGCAGGGTTTACAATAGAACCCTTATTGCATGTGTTGTAGGTCAATACTTCAGCGGAGGTAAACCTATTTACTGAAAATAGAGGAAAGGACATACAAGTAGTAATAGCTAGACAAACCATCCAAGTAGACCTGAAAGTAGTAGATATGACGGATTTCGATATCATCTTAGGAATGGACTAGCTAGCCAAAAATTTTGCTAGCATAGACTGTCATAAGAAAGAAATAGTATTGACACCACTAAACGGACTTACCTTTAAATTTAAAGGACCTTGCACGGGCACCACCCGAAAAGTAATATTAATGATGAAAGCCAAAAACTTGGTACAACAAGGGGGTGGGCAATCCTAGCCTGTGTAGTAGACACAAAAGAAAAGGAGAAAATTATGGACACGAAACCCATAGTAAACGAATTCCCAAATGTCTTCCTGGAGGACCTGCTAGTAATCCCTCCTTCATGAGCAGTAGACTTCGGGATAGAACTTAAACTAGGAATGAGACCCATCTCTAAAGCCCCATACCGCATTAAAGGAAACTGATTAATGTTTATTCAAGGATAGCTACGACTTTTATAAAGCCTTACAAAACAAAATAACAAACAAACAAAATAAAAAAAAAACAAATCAACTCCTACAAATTAGCTATTTGAAAACAAATAGAAAACTACTGCCTATTAATTAGCTATAACATTGCAGACCAAGTCCGAAACTTCTACAAATTCCTCCCCGTAAACTGAAGTATGCTGAAACAGCATCAGTTTACTCAAGTTGTCGAACTCCAAGCATGCCTCAGAATTTCACAAATTGATCTAGCTTAATTGGTTTAGTCATTATGTCTGCCACTTGATCTTCAATTCCACAAAACACTAACCTCACAGTCCCATTAATTGACAAATTACGCAAGTAATGATACCTAACATCAATATGTTTTGTCCTTCGATGCATAACTGAGTTCTTAGACAATTTGATTACTAAACTATTGTCACACA